CGGAAGGACACGGGGTCTTCTGGGTCGGACGTGTTTTTCGGCGGGTGGTATTGTATTCTCTTCCTTGTTATTTTCTCTTATCATTGTTGTCAGTGGTGGTAGCAGTGTTGATTTGTGTTGTACATTGGTTGCTGGACTGTTCTTATCTCAACCCATGGGAGTTGCATTCTTTCGATTCTCCTCCACATCCCTCCGGGAGTGGGGAAGGGGAGAGCCCCTGGGGGGGAACACAGGCCTTGACTGCTTCCAGCCCGGCACCACTCACTGGGAGTGAGTGCACGAGCTGTCTGGCTGGGTTTAAACCACGACAACCGGGGTCAGGGCAATCCCAGGCACAGCTACAGGTTGGGCAGAGAAGAAATTCAGAGCAGCCCTGTGGAGAAGGACTTGGGGATGTTGTTCGATGAGAAGCTGAACATGAGCCAGCTGTGTGTGCTCACAGCCCAGAAAGCCAACTGTATCCTGGGCTGCATCAAAAGTACCATGACCGGCAGGTCGAAGGTGATCCTGCCCCTCTACTGTGCTCTCATGAGACCTCACTTGGAGTATTGTTCACACTTCTTGTGTCCTCAACATAAGAAGAACATGGAACTGTTGGAACAAGTCCTGAGGAAGGCTACAAGGATGATCAGGGGACTGGAGCACCTCCCGTATGAAGATAAGCTGAGAAAGTTGGGGCTGTTCAGCCTGGAGAAGAGAAGGCTGAGTGAAGACCTCATAGCAGCCTTCCAGTATCTGAAGGGGGCCTATAAGGATACTGGGGAGGGACTGTTCATTAGGGACTGTAGTGATAGGACAAGGGGTAATGGGTTCAAACTTAAACAGGGGAAGTTTAGATTGGATATAAGGAAGAAGCTCTTTACTGCGAGTGTGGGGAGGCACTGGAATGGGTTGCCCAAGGAGGCTGTGAATGCTCCATCCCTGGCAGTGTTCAAGGCCAGGTTGGACAGAGCATTGGGTTGTAAGGTTTAGTGTGAGGTGTCCCTGCCCATGGCAGGGGGGTTGGAACTAGATGATCTTAAGGTCCTTTCCAACCCTAACATTTCTATGATTCTGTAAGTTGACTTGTGGATCCTAAAATGCTGTTTCATATGCACATGCCTTGCACGTATTTGTAAGCCAACACAACCTGACATAGAACTTGACATTATGTAAAAGCTAAGCAGGAAATGGGGACAAAAGGAGAGTTTAAGTGAACAGAGATATCAGAGTAACAGATATGAAGTCACTTCACATAGCAAAGTCAGTTAAAATTTGCATGAATGCAAAGTAACAAATCAGGTATGTGTGCTGCCCATGTAAAGACAAAGCAAGCTTGTTATCACTGATTAAGTAAAAAGTGATCTGTCCAGTGACTACATTCTCACATTGAATTCATGTTTAGGCTAAGACTTCTAGTCTGAAATATAAGTAAAGTCAATACTTGATACGGTGGCCATCTGTTAGCAAGTCTAAAACAAAGGGTTAAAAAAAAATCGTTTGAAAATATATTTATTAAAATATGTGTATGCTCTAGCTTCCTTTAAGAAGTTCCCAGAAACACCAAGGAAAATGGCTGAAGTCAGTACTTTCTCCTCCATCACATTAGTATGCCAGAATCAGCTGATTATTGCCATTAGCAAAGGGGAAGAGAAATCAAGTTTTCACATTTGAAAGACTAATGCAATTTCGAAATTGTAAAAAATATATTCAGAGAAGTGATTCAAGCAAGTGATTTTGCATGAATATTTTCAGCTGAAGACAATGTAGATCAGAACCTTCATTTTCCACCTAGATGAATACAGGTCACAGGCCAAGAAAACTCATGAGGTCCAAGTACAGCATGCCTCATCTGTACTCCTGAGCAATTAATCTTATTCTGCTTTAATATAGATTATTCTAACTTGTCACCTACATTAGCTTAATCCTGAGCTCATTAGTAAAAATCAATGCTTCAGTTTTATTTATTTTTTGTTCTTTTTTTAAAGAACTATTCCTTCAATTACCTTGACAGCAACTTCTCAAGTAACATTTTAGTCCTTATTCTCTGTGCACTGTGGAGTTACAGCTCCTTTTGTAATCATTTGCAGGTAATATAGAAAAGAAGCAAGTACCAGATAGAATAACAGAGGAATATTTAGAATCTGAAACAGCAGAACACAACTCAAAGATGAAAGCTTACACTGTGCAAACAGCTTTGATTAACTATGTTATAGTCTGCATGAAAAGCTAAGTTACACAAGTTAGACAACTGAAGTGAACCAAGTTTAAACAGGGAGAGCCTCTACTGTATCTGATTAGACAGTGTCTGCATTTCAAATGCCTTTAGTTTGGGAATAAATGACCCAAAGGCACCTTGGCAGAACAGGACAAATGCAGGTTTACTATCCTTGTTTCATCTTTGACAGCCTTTGCTATCAGCAGCCAGTGCAGCACTTCCATGGCTGTGGAGTTCATGCTCTCATGCCTGTGCATATCTCCTTCCCCATCATATGTAGATGCTATGTGGAATCCCTTTTGCTGTCAGTGAAGAGTAATCATGGATCTAGAGATGCTGTGGGGCATCACCTTCCTCTGATAACCGCTTCAGCCTCTTTATCAGGCGGTGTTAGTTCTGCTGGCAGTGGTTGACCTAACTGTGAGCTTAAGGTTGAGAAGGATGAAAGGAAAAAATAAAAATAATAATAAAAAAGTAGTTGTCCAGTTTCAGTTAAAAGTAATCAAAGAAGTGCCACTAACCTGTGATCACACAGAAGTCAATTTTAGACCAAAAAATAAAAAAATAAAAAATGGACATTTAGATAACCTACAGCATTTCAGTTATAAAGACCCCAGGTACTCCTCAAGGCTGTATACTTTACCAGGCAGTTTGATTAAACAGTAGGAGTAACAGTATTATCAGAAAGGCAAAGGGGAATGACTAACTTGAGCAGTGTGGAAGAAATAGTCTTCCAGCTGCTTCATTAAGGTGATTAGTGGTCTCTGCAGATCCATCATCTCAACTTTTACAGCAATACTGTACTCCTTCCCTGACAACCAGGAGTGTTTTGGTCAGGTTAGTCACAGCAGAGCATAGTCATGTGTCTGATTGATAATGGGTACCATTATCCCATGAGAATGGCTTACAGAAAAAAATCTAAACAATTTTAAAATGAAAAACGCCAGGCTGCAAGCACAAAACTGCCATAACAGTCTTTTAGTAAAGCAACTGGCAATGAGTTGCTCTTGCAATTGGTAAAAGTGCCTATCTATTGTCTTTGCAGTGACTCAGATGGTAACTGAAGTAAACAGGAGTTGAGAGGAGTTATTGGAGATTGTATTATATTTGTTTTGTCAAGTAATACTTCTTGCCCTGTGAGGTTAACTTGAAACCAAATATACTCAGTGAAAACACATTAAGATTTTATACTCTGGAAAATGTACTCACTAGGGAATCTAGTTGCATAAAGCCAATGACACCTTTATAAACAAGTTTTACAGCAAAAAATCAGATGTTCTGAATTGAAGTCTCCACCAATCTGAAGTTTTTAAGTAGAGTTCTAAAAAAGGAGCTGTTTTCAATAATTACTAAGACATAAGTAATTGATGTATTTAATACACAGTGAGCTGAAAAACACACTCTTCACCTTCTAGACCAAGAGGAACCAAGTAGCACAAAGACCAAAGATTTAAAATAATCTCATTAGCATTGCTATGGCACTGCTTTTGCTCAAAGTGCTTTATATACGCTAATAAAAATGGTCTTGCAGTACCTGTAATAACATATTAGCAAGGCTTTCTGAACCAGCAAAGGCAGGGAATAATATTTGCAATCATAGAAAAATAGCTTGCCAGAAGCTTTGTTCAAACCAAAACCCAGCAAGTTCTCATGATGCATGGGGAGGCTGTAGTGTGGACAGCACAAGCCCAAAGCCATGTCTGCATTGCTAAGGATTGGGGTTTTCCAATGCTAATGTAAGGAATAAGAAAACAAATCTGAAGAACAAAATGTGAGCACTGACTTGCTTTATTTAGTGCTTTTTGGCCCAGACCCTCAGGAGTATCTTGTATCAGGCTTTGTTGCCTGACCCCCTAACACACTAACCACCTACAACTTTGGGCAGCATTTGTGCTCTAAGGGCTTGTCCCCAAAACACCTCAACTCCTGCAGTGAAGAAAACACCAACACGGTATTGATGGGCTCACAGGAAGCATTAGCCTCCCCCTGTCTAGAAAACCCAGAGGAGTGCTGGATGTGCCAGAGGAGCCTGGGAAGAGTTGGGCCCACCTCACACCTTCCAAGCCCACCAGTACTACCCCAGCAAAGGCAGCATCTCCAACATGCTCATGAACGTTTTAAATGATCTGTCATAGAATCACAGAATTAACCAGGTTGGAAAAGATCTTTAAGATCAAATCCAACTGATTCCCCGGGACTGCCAAGGCCACCATTAAACAACGTCACTGAGGGCCTCATCTACACGGTTTTGAACACCTCCATGGACAGAAGCTAGCCAGTCACCTTCTTGTATAACCGGTGGACATGGAATTGCAGCAAATGGTCAGAGTGGCTGTAGAAATTTAAGCATTGTGTTGTGGGTGTGCTTCCCTGACGCAATCCACGACACCGGATCAACAGCAGCCGGAGGGCGGGTTTCTTTCCTTTGGGTTTCTCTCCCCTCCACCCCTACACCAAGTGCCTCGCAGGGGAGGGAGCGGTGCCGGCACGAGGAAAGTAAAGGAACGGCCGGTGTGCCCCAGATACGGCTCCGGGCAGCTGCGGGAATAGGACGGGTGATGTGGGTGGTCTGCGAGTTGTTAACTCAGTACGAAGCATCTCACCGGCAACACAACCGCCCCCCTGCACCACCCCACCCCCTTTCCCGAGGGCTCTACTGCCCCCGCGGGGTATCGATGGCCCCGCTGAGCCACCCAGCGCCCCAATGAGGATCAGCAGCGGAATGCCGGGGGCGGTGCCAGCGCGGGCGGCGGCGCAATCGCCGCGAGAACGGGTGGGGGAGCCCTGCCCAGTTCTACCTCACCTTCCTCAGCTCCTTCTCGATCTCGCCGGCTTTAAGGACGATAGGCCCTCTCACCGCATACTCCAACGCCTTCACCAGCGGGTTCATGGACTCCAGCGTCAGGATCTTCTCCCTGCTCGCCTTCTCGCTGATCTTCACCACGGAGGCCTTAGCAGCGGTGCTCCAGCGCACCGACCAGTCCCGTGCTGGCCGCGGGAGCCGAGGACCCCGTGAGGGCCAACCCGCCGCCAGAGAACCGGCGCATCGCAGAAGCACATTCTTCCCGCCGTCCCCCGGGCCTCGGCAGCCTAGGCTTGCTGCGGCTTGCTTGGCAGCCAACACGAACCGGTGCATAGTCCTTCGGATAGCTCCTCACACACTGTTGAGAACTCCGGTACCGCGGATCGGTGCGGCCTGTAACAAGGGCGAGCGAGGGACGCGGTCAGATGTAATGCAAGGAACCGGCACAGTCACGCCAACACGCTCGATCCCCCCATGTCCAGACCCCGCAAACTTGGTCACAGTAGAGACAGCTAATCTCGCAGCGCTGCGGTGCTGCCACGGTAACCACGGATGCCGCTATTGCATCAGCCCAATGCTGCAGACCCTGGCTCCCAAACTACAGCAAAGTTCCACATTACACTCTACTCCATGAACACACTTAAGCACAGGCTACTTAGCCCTGTATTGCCCGGCGGGCTTTGTAGTTCCGGCGGTCCTGCGCTGCGCCTGCCCACAGCGTCAGGTGATGGGCGGAGAACGGCCGCCGTCGCAGCACTCCCGTTTGCGTGCCTGCGTTCTTCCGGCGCTGGAGGAGCCGCGGAGGGAGTGAGTTCGGGGTGTTCCTGTCTCTACATGATCTTGTCCAAAGCCCCTTTCCACGTTCCTTGTAATCCTTTTAGGCACTGGAAGCTGCTCTAACGTCTCCCTGGAGCCATCTTTTCTCCAGGCTGAACAAGCCCAGCTCTCTCAGCCTGTCTTGCACCTCCTCTGGACTTGATTCAACAGCTCCACGTCCCTCTTGTATTGTTGCCCCAGAGCTTGACGCAGGACTGCAGGGGGGAACTCACCAGAGCAGAGTAGAGGGGGAGAATCCCCTCCCTCAACCTGCTGGCCATGCCCCTTTTGATGCAGCCCAGGACATTTAGTTTCTGGGCTGCAAGTGCACACTGACAGGTTATATTGAGCTTTTTGTTAACCATCACCCCCAAGTCCTTCTCCTCAGGGTTGCATCAAGTCTTCCCCAGCCTGTATTTCTGCTTGGGATTTCCCTGACTTAAGGTTCAGGACCTTTCACTTGGTCTGTTGAACTTCATGAGGTTCTCAAGCTTGTCAGGGTCCCTTTGAATTCCATCCCTTCCGTCCAGCATGTTGACTGCACCACGCATTTTGGTGTTGTTGGCAAACATGCTGAGGGTGCACTCAATCCCCCTGTCCATGCCACCCACAAAGATGTTGAGCAAACAGCGCCAGTCCTAATACCAACCCCTGAGGGATACCACTTGTCATCGATCTCCACTTGGACACTGAGCTGTTGACCACAACACTTTTTAGTGCAACCATTAGCTAATTCCTTATCCACTGAGTGGTCCATCTGTCAAATCCATGCATCTCCAATTCGGAGACAGGACACTGCAGTCTGCATCTCCTTCAGACTGATTTTTCCCCCCCATATTTTAAACCTTTTTAACTTTGTAAATGTCAGCTTCCAGAGCCTGCATATTTTGACACTTTTCCCTTAAAGTTACCACCAGTCATGTATCTGGAAAACTGGGTGTTACCTGAATCTGGCTTTCTGACTGATAATTAACAAGCAGTGTCATGGTGCTGTTTTTCCAAGTTTGATATAATGCAGTTCAGAAGCAAAGATTTGGTAAGACTTGCCAAGGTTGATATAAGGCACCCGGGCCCATAATAAACATACCTGCTTTATAACTCTTTGAGTTGTAGAGTCTGATTCCGTGCTTCAAGGTCATATTCACCACAAAAACAGAACTGGTTTTGCAGTAAGCTTTAATCAGGTCACCTGAAATGTGCAATTTATTTTAAATTCTAGTGTTTACATTCAGTGTATACAAGTACACCTCCCAGACATCTTGATTTGAGCGTGGTCAAGGTTCACTAGAAGCAAGGTTGAAATGCTACCTAGCCAATTAAAAATCAAAGTCTAATGACTTTGGAACCACAAATTTTGCTGGGGTGAGAACACAAATGAACCTTTGCTCTTGGTCCAAGCACTGCTGTTCCACCCCCCAATCTGTCCCCCAGGAACACCTGGCATAGCAGAAAGTTTCCAGCCAGCACTGCCACAGTATCTCTGATCCCCAGGAATCAGAGGTATAGACTGCCTCCAGCTGACAACCCAAGCAAGACCTCAGACCTTGTTTGCCAATGCTGCAATGTTGCTTGTTAGCAAATAATGTAGCACAGCAGCAGTGGAACAAGGCTAACAAATTAACGATCATAAAATGTGCATTGCACAAGCTAAAGCACGTGTTTTTAGTAAAAAATCTGATGAATATATGTGAACTTGAAAATCAACAGTCTGATTAATTTCCTAAGTTTAGAAACACACAGAGGAAATATATAGGGTGAAAGAAAGCCCTTCCATGTTCAATGTAATATGAAGTAGTGTTTGTGTCATAGAGGGTGTATCTGTTGCTTTAATTATGATAAATGCATCCCCAAATATTACTGTAATGCAGATACCTTCAGGAAAGCAAATGGTGTATGATGAGCTTGCAATGCTGAGGCAAAGTTGTGCCTATCTTCCTGCTTTTTGAAGTTAGCACCTAAGATCCTGATGATTTCAGGAGTCAGTACTTTAACGTCAGAGTGACTGAGGTTTTGAGCATGCCACTTGGACTTACTGTGACTTGGCATATCTACCTATCATAGGAGGAGAGAACTTACCTCATGAGCTGTAAAATTAGTTAATGGATGTTTGTAACAATCTTGTGCAATTACATGTTAAGGATTGTCCTGGTTTAAGGCCAGGCTGTAAATTAGAACCACGCAGCCCTCACGCTCACTCCCCCCCACCTTTCTTCCTTCCTCCCCCTGCTCCCGGAGGGAAGGGGAGGAGAATCGAAAGAATGTAACTCCCATGGGTTGAGATAAGAACAGTCCAGTAACTAAGGTATAACACAAATCACTACTGCAACCACCAATACTAATAATGATAAAGGAAATAACAAGGGAAGGCAATACAGTACCACCCGCCGACCGATGATATCCAGCCCGACCGAGCACCAACCGATACCTAGTCCAATCCCACAGTGAACTAGCCCTTCTGGGTAACTCTCAGTTACATCCTGGGCATGGCGTGCTGTGGTATGGAATACTTCTTTGGTCAGTTTGGGACAGGTGTCCTGTCTCTGCTTCCTCCTGGCTTCCCCTCCTCCCTGGCAGAGCATGAGGCTCAGAAAGTCCTTGGTCAGACTAAACATTTGAGCAGTAACTAAAACCATCAGTGTTATCAGCACTGTAAGGAGATAATACGGTCGGAATGACCTATCGGCAAATTTTCAAGTTTAGAGATGATGGAGTTTTTAATCATGAAGACGACTCCAGAAAGATGACTTTCAGTTTTGGGTTTGCCTGACCAGTAGAGTGTATAGCCAGCACCATGTTCTTTGAGGCTACCTTCCTCATGAAGGCGAACTTCACTGAGAGCAGCGATATCGATGTTAAGTCGTGACAATTCATGGGCAATTAGCGCAGAATGGCGCTCAGGACATCCACTGTTCACTGTATCAAGCATGGTTCTGATGTTCCAACATGCGAGTGTCAATCTGGACACACCTTTGGAGGCAGGTGTATGCCTTTGTCTCTTTGTCTTTAATTGGCCGCAATAGAAGATGCCCGTTGGCCGTGGCTAGCCAACCAGGTGAAGGGGGCGATGAGCTTTGGTTAGGCCACCTTTTCTAGGCCTCTCTCCATATGGAGCAAGCAGTGCTGTCCTTGAAAAAGGCTGCTTGGTCATTCAGGATGCTGCCGAACAAGACTGTCATCTCATGGGTCAGACTTGAGCGACCAATGTCCTGAACCGCCTGCATGCAGGGTTGGGACTGCGACTTCCAGTTCACCTTATCACCTGCCGTTTCGTCCCTCGCCTGTCGCTACAGGGCTTTGCAAGTGTGGGTAAACCCTTCGGGCCTGCGCAGTGGATTTATTTCAGGTGAGGCACAACGTGCACAGAACTGGCCTCACCCTTTACACCTGAGGTTTATCTGCCAGGGCCTAGTGAGCTTGGACGGTGACAGCAAAGTCCTCAGGTCGTAGGTTTGATTAGAGTATCCTTCTCTTAGATGGATGGCCTTACAGGGCTATACGAGCTCCATCTGCCCGGGTTTGAAGTTGGAGATGTCCTTCTCCTAGGATGGTTGCCCGAAGGCTAGTGAGCCCATCCTGACCATGGACAACTTTCGTTGACCTCACCAAAGCTTTTGACACTGTGAGCATAAAAGGCCTGTGGCTGATCTTAGAACGATTAGGTTGTCCCCCCAGTTCCTCAAAATGATTATTCTGTTACATGAGAATCAGCAAGTCCAAGTCAGGTATGGCGATGCACTTTCCAAGCCTTTCCCAATAACCAGTGGTGTGAAACAAGGTTGCGTTCTCGCACCGACCTTATTCACAATCTTCTTCAGCATGATGCTCCAAAGGGCTACAGCAGACCTCGACGAACAAGACGGCGTTTATATTCGATATCGTACCGATGGTAGCCTATTCAATCTAAGGCGACTGAAGGCCCACACTAAGACCCTAAACCATCTTGTCCGTGAACTGCTCTTTGCTGATGATGCCGCCCTTGTTGCCCACACAGAAGCAGCTCTGCAGCGTTTAACATCTTGCTTTGTGGAGGCGGCTGAGGTTTTTGGGCTGGAAGTCAGCTTGAAGAAGACAGTAGTCCTCTACCAACCTGCACCGCAAGAAGATTATCGCCATCCCCATATTACCATCGGCGAGTCAGAGCTTAAGACAGTTCAGCAGTTCAGCTATCTGGGAAGCATCATTTCCTCGGATGCCACGATCGACAAAGAGATAGACAACAGAATAGCAAAGGCATATAGAGCCTTTGGAAAACTCCATAAAAGAGTCTGGTGTAATAAACACCTGAAGAAAAGTACAAAGATCAGTGTCTATAGAGCCATTGTATTGTCTACTCTTTTATATGGGTCTGAATCATGGGTCATCTACCGTCATCACCTGTGACTCCTGGAACGCTTTCATCAGCGCTGCCTCCGTACAATTCTAAACATCCATTGGACTGACTATGTGTCTAATGTCACTGTCCTCGAACAGGCAGGGGTCACCAGCATCGAGGCCATATTGCTGAAATTGCAGCTGCGCTGGGCAGGGCACGTCTCTAGGATGAAGGATCACCGCCTCCCCAAGATCGTGTTTTACGGTGAACTTGCCACCGGTAGCCGCAAGAGAGGTGCCCCAAAGAAGAGATATAAGGACTCCCTGAAACAATACCTTAGCCTTGGCCATATTGACTACCATCAGTGGTCCACCTTGTCCTCCAATCGGGAGACTTGGAGGCACACCATACATAATGCCGCTGACTCCTTTGAGAGCTCACGAAGAACTAGTCTCAAGGAGAAAAGACAACGCAGGAAGAATCGCGCCCCACCTGTTCCACCCAAGAAGACCTTCTGCTGTGCTTTTTGTAGCCGGAATTGCCTATCCCACATTGGCCTTCTTAGTCATCAGCGCGCTTGT